CGAGGAGACTACATACATGACATGCCTACCAAGTACATGAAGGAGACTACATACATGACATGCCTACCAAGTACATGGAGGAGACTACATACATGATATGCCTAACAAGTACATCGAGGAGACTACATACATGACATGCCCAACAAATACATCGAGGAGACTACATACATGACATGCCTACCAAGTACATGAAGGAGACTACATACATGACATGCCTACCAAGTACATGAAGGAGACTACATACATGACATGCCTACCAAGTACATGGAGGAGACTATATACATGACATGCCTACCAAGTACATGAACGAGACTACATACATGACATGCCTACCAAGTACATGAAGGAGACTACATACATGACATGCCTACCAAGTACATGGAGGAGACTACATACATGACATGCCTACCAAGTACATGGAGGAGACTGCATACATGACATGCCTACCAAGTACATGAAAGAGACTACATACATGACATGCATACCAAGTACATGAAGGAGACTACATACTTGGCATGCCTACCAAGTACATGGACGAGACTACATACATGACATGCCTACCAAGTACATGGAGGAGACTACATACATGACATGCCTACCAAGTACATGAAGGAGACTACATACATGACATGCCTACCAAGTACATGAAGGAGACTACATACATGACATGCCTAACAAGTACATGAATGAGAATACATACATGACATGCCTACCAAGTACATGGAGGAGATTATATACATGACATGCCTACCAAGTACATGAAAGAGACTACATACATGACATGCATACCAAGTACATGAAGGAGACTGCATACATGACATGCCTACCAAGTACATGGAGGAGACTGCATACATGACATGCCTACCAAGTACATGAAAGAGACTACATACATGACATGCATACCAAGTACATGAAGGAGACTACATACTTGGCATGCCTACCATGTACATGGACGAGACTACATACATGACATGCCTACCAAGTACATGGAGGAGACTACATACATGACATGCCTACCAAGTACATGGAGGAGACGACATACATGACATTCCATCAAGTATATGAAGGAGAATACATACACCGCATGCCTACCAAGTGCATAGACAATGTACTACTGTATTTGATGTAAATAACAATATCCAAAATACCTTTCGGACCGTCTATTTCCATGCATTTTAAAATATCTGAGTAGACTTCACATATAGCAGGAACTGCCTCTGATACGACTGCTGTAGATCCATGTCCACGTTGCCGGCACAGCACTTCTATTCTATGTGGGGGAAGAACATATGTCTCTTCGGAAGTGTCAAATTCCACTATACTTCCAGTTACCATGGCACCAAGCCATTCTTTGACATACCTTAAAAAAATAAACAGCATTCAAGCGCGTTTTTAACATTTAAACTTTTTGGTAAGAGCTGAATGGCAGCAGGACATTGTACTAATTTAAAACCAGATGTCTACGATAAACATCGTGCACCTCATAAACGGACCGATGTGTTTAAACGTATTATATCAGTCCTCGATATCAATTCGCTACTGACTGAATCAATCTTCAACTCGTACTCATTAGAGCAGTTTATTTCGCTCAATTTCATAACCAGTTCAGATGTACTTAGTTTCGTATCTTTGACATTATATCCCTAATTCCATTCTCTTATTATGCAATTAGTTAATCTTTCCACCTATTATGTACTGTATTAAAATTTGGGGTCACGCCTAAACCACTTCTCTTGAGCCAATTGTCCTACTACAAAATAAATAAGTCCGCCTTATCACGTTTTCTAATTACAGTGCACCTTCATTCCTTTTGTTTAAACAACTTGACATCTTCAATAAACACCTGCATTTTTACTTTTGATAACTTTGAATATGTAGCCTATATATATATTTTGTCCTGTTTTGTTTTTGACGTTTCACTCATTTATTTATTTACTACATCTACTTTACTCTTACTACTTGATCAATCCAAGTCATCTGATATCAATTCAGGTATACGCATGGACAATCTGATTAAAATCTGATGTTGTGTACGGGCTTTAATTATTTTGGCTATAAACTTATTTTAATTTATTTTTTATTACTTTTGTTATTAATGCCTTTTAATTTTATTATTTTACTTTGATTTTGTGATTTTTTTAATTCCGCCCTACATACATCTGATCCGACGCCTATGTAACGAGATTTCAACGAGACCCACTATCGACGATTTTAATCAGATTGACGCATGGAGCACCATGCCACAAATCCCCAAAATAACGTACTGAACTAACCAACACCGTTCTGTACGCATGTAGTAATGGGGAACACGTTAAAAGATGCGCTACATTAACAAAATATTAGCAATATAGCTTTTCCACTGGAAAAATTACAAAATGAAGAGTGGCTAAGTCGCTTTAAAATCGCCTTCTATCCACGTCACGCAACGTGATTTTGAATTGCATGTAAGCAAATGATGTACTTTACTCGCGTTGTATAACTCGCTGTTGGTCCGTCGCTTAGTTCGGGTGTAGTTGAAGACTAAATTTCAGTTTTCTATGACTATTAAAGTGGATTTCAGAATTTCAAATTTGCTTTGTTTTTGGAGTAACTGTTTTTGGATGTATGCTGTTTTATCTGGCGTGTTCTGCTGTTACATAACGCATATCACATATCAATATATCACCTTGTCCACACGTTTTTTTTTTTTTATTCTTCGGTTGTCAATGACAAGCCATTTTGAAGACTTATGCACTGATCAAAGGTTCAGTAATACATACTATGTGTTGACGAAACACTGACTTGGGAAAGTACAGCACCAAGGTTACAACAAGAGACAAAAATGGAAGTTGCAAAGCAAAGAAAAATGAAAAGATAAAATGATAAAACAAGTGACCTGACGGCCGAATTAGTTCGCTGTTTCAGCAGAGCATAAGTGCATGTATATTAGCATTAGTAAAGAGTATCAAATATGGGTCCGCATAGTACATAACATGTTCTGGTTACTATTGTAATTGTGGTACCAGCCAGGACATCGTTTTTTATGCACCTGTCTGGTCTAAAATAAAACATGTCAAGAATGTTACAGTGCCCCCGTTTGGGGGATAATTTGTAATATTGTGTACAAAGGGCGAAAGTGACTGGTGCGTCTGTACACGGTGTACACGGTTCGGTGTCTTGTCAGGGTTTAGGCCACTTGACTGGTGATGGTAGGACATTTGATGTTCTTCAAAATCAAACCACCCTATTACATTTGTTTTTAAATAAACATTAACCCCATAACACACGGACTTATTTTAGAGATACACAAGGAAGATACGTTGTTTTCTCGTTCTCTATAAACATCTCTGTGCATTTGATGTCTTTGGTTCAGGTGAAACATCAAAAACAACAATGTCTTCACAGCCAACACACTTTCTTATTGTCTTGTTCTTGAAAACGTATTTCCCTTTTCTCAGAACGCGTATCCGTAACCAGCCCGCCTGAGGTAGTGATATCCGAGGCTCGCATAACACTGCCATTCGAAGAGCAATCGTACACATGCGAGGAAGGAATTGCACATAGATAGACAGGAATCATAAACAATAATTTATAACACCAAGTTGTTGAATTTTATTTTCTCTTTTATTTAATTGTATTAACAATTTTATTTCCCATTCTTTTTTTAAGTTTGATTTGTTTTAATTCTCCTGTATTTTTATTTTATTGTGTTACATTTTTTATTTTATCGTATATTTCATTTAATTTTTTTTAATTTTGCTTTTATTGTTTATTTTTATTATTATTGTATTTTAATTTGGAATTTTGTAATTCAAATTTTATTATATTACTTTTGATGTTTCATTTTTAACTTGGTGTTTATTTTTAGTTTTATAAATTTACAAAAAAACAAAAAAAAACAGTGAAATTGTATGTGGGTGCGTGTGTGTATAACGCACAGTTTTCTGTATTTTATTTTTGCAACACTTGGCGTCGTACACACATGCTATGATGATTAAAAAAATATACAAAGCGAGGGCATATTGTACTTATAAATGATTTAGTATCGTAAATAAACAGATACAAAAAATAATATTGCTGTAAAATAACCTGGTCATGCGTTTGGTGCTGGTAATGTGTCACTGGAGCACTTCAACCTCACTTTTATATCGCATCTTGGTCGCTTTAAATAACGATATAAACAAGTGAAGTGAAACTAAACATGGAGCCTATGCCTACATCGGATTTTAACCAAATTGGGGTCATTGTCCTGCTAATGCTAGCTCGTTAACAAATCCCAAATATTCAAATGACGTCTTACATTCATTGAACGCTGTGTATTATGAACAGTCGTAGACATCAAACAGTGCAGGTTCCGTCTATGACAATTATAATGTTTTAACAATATTATGACAGAAAATAATATGTCATTGTCCCTATTTAGATAAGTGGCATTGTTATTAAAGTACGTATACATTAAGTGGACAATGTTTAATATGATGTGATTTGATGTCAATGCATTATTAATATTGGCTTGGTACCTACATCACACATGGACGTGCTAACGCGTACTTTCAATAATAAACACAACCAAACAACCGATTTAAATAGAGTAATCAACACATGCAGACCTGTCGGAGTGTGTACACAATGTAACATTTGATGATATATAATGTACATTACCTTTCCTTCATACCCGCAGCCTCAGCAATGTCCTTGACGTGGCATGGTCTACCTATTTTCGCCATTGTATCAAAGAGCCCAGATGCTGACCCAACCGATATACCAACTGTCAAAAAACCTGAGCGTATCTAACATACGCCGTTTGAACAACTCAGTCGTCTCACTCGCCTGTTCGTTCTTTCCACTGGCCATGATTCTTCAGTATGATGGCAGTGACACTCATGAATATTTAAGATGAGATTAGCATATTATTAAAATGTATTAAATGTAGTTTAATTAATAATAGCCCTGAACCTGGATTTGACCCTAATTGTTCACGCCAAATACTGATTATAATTGATTCAAGACATGATAGAATACAACTAAATGCAAGTACATAAATACATATGAACAACATTTACTGACCTCTTACTTGATTTGAACCGATTCGATTTTCTTCTGTGTCTAATAACATGTTTTCGACATATTGTAAGATGACATTTCTTTCGCCATCAATGTAGTAAATATGTTTTATGCATCATGTTTTGGATACCGACATTGGTTGCCAAAATACATTACGTTGTTAAGTCCAGTCTATGTACAAAGTTCACATACAACAACTTATAGTGCTATATTCACACAACTGTATAATAAATAGTTAATCAATACATGAGCTCAAAAGATGTACTCATAATAAATGCGATTGGGTTTTTTGCTGGTATACTAGGACAGTGATATTAATTGTTGGCTGCCATAATATATCTGGATATTCACATATATCCTTGAAGTGATCTCGGTCGTCTGCTAACACTACATGGTGTCAGAAATCAGCATGCCCACGGGATCTCATCCTGCATAAAAATACTTTGTGTTAAAAAATAAAGAATATATATTATTTGGAGACCGCTTTGATACATTTCAAGTACCCGGCAAAGATTATATCATTAAGATCATTATACCAGCACTTTATCCAGAGGTCAGTGTGCGAATAAATGAGATAACAACTAATGGGTTAAATCATATGTTCCGTACAGGAGCAGCATTAGCAATACGGTATATTATACATTTATTGAATTGTGTAAATATGAATGATATATCAGATAGACGATTTAATATCAGGATGAATAATGTTATGTGAATTTCACCATGGCTTGGCATTTTTTCAGATGTGTAGGACGTGTTTCACAACATGTCTCCTATTTAGTTTCATGTCGAATTCAAATGGGCGGCCCCATATAATAAATATCGCATTGATATTGTTATCCCTTGTACGCCAGCTGTGGACAATGTACTGTGATATTATTCAAGGTCAACACATGATCGTTGTTATACTATGAGTTGACCATCTATTCAGATAATATAACAATATATTTTTTGATTTAAAAAAATTGACATCTACAAGTGATGCCAGGTGTTTCGAAAACAGTTATCACAGCCTGCTCCTTTAAATATACAAAACGATTCTCGCATCTACTTTGCATAGAGAATATGGGTTTCACTGTGGAAATGTGGTATGCATGTGATGCATGAACATTAGTATTACTAAATATAAATTGTACCAATACACATCGATTTCTCTAACACCTTTCACTGGCTTACCATTTTAGTCCATATTGAATCCCTGAGGAGCTTCCTATATTTGTTTTTCAAAAGTGCGTTTTTGTAATTTGTGATGAATGTCAAATTTACTGTATAGCATACATTCTAGGGGTGATTAAAATGGTGTCAATCTTTGGGGAACATAGTCACCAACACCAGCAATCGCCCTGTCACTTAAGGTAGAGATGCATGTTCGTGAGCTCCTAGACGCTTTGACCTTTTGTTTTAAAATTTTCACAAATGATTGACGATGTGTTTATCTTCAAAACGCCGTCGGGGCATTGCTTTTAGTTGAATAGTGTTACAGCAATCGTACAGACAACTAGACTGGGTGTTAATTTATGCATAAACTTGAAGTAGTGAAATTTGAGCTGCGGCCCTACAAAATAGACAACTGGTAGACAGTTTTCAAAATGGCATTTTCTTCATAGTAAACAGATGTACCCATAAACCAATTTTGACAGGAAACAGAAGTATGGTCAGAAGCAAATTTTTTTTAAATCACTTTTGACCAAAAAGGCACATTTTTGTGCATATTTCAAACTACAGTGCCCATAAAAATAAAATACTAACACAACTTTACAATTCATACAATAAGCTTTCCGAAAATATATAGTTTTGTGGACAAGAGAGGTCATCTTGGTTTCCTAATTAACTAATTAAAATACCTGTCAGGTAAACTGCATCTCATACATATTTCTTTATTTTATCCATCTATTGCCTTGGTTATCTAAGAATTATGTTTATTTTACTATGACAAAAAAAACACTACTACTTTACCAATTTTTGAAAAATAAATGTGCGTTTTCTGAATGCATGAGGCATATCCACAGGTGGGTAGGTACTGGTGACATTCACGCAATTTCTACTAAACAATATGTTATACAAACCATGTGCAGATTACAGCATTATTGGTGGTATGTTACTAGTTCTCCATTATCTTCATTGTTTGGGTTCTAACAAAATCGGTCACTACAACGTTAACCACAGGTCCAAGTATATTGCAGTTTTTTAATACAACAGCTACACCCAGTGTACAGTTGCAATGTATTACTGCAAAAAAAATGCTTGATACAGAAACATTAGCCATTAGCTTTGGCTTCAACTCTTCACTCATTTCAGCACACCATCCATAGCCTACTGGCGAACATAATAGTGGCCATGGATCGTTAAATGAATACGGTACCATGTTCTGGTAATGCATGTTTGATATGATGTTGCAAGGAAAAATGTGTTGGTGGCAACCTTTCGGTAACGGGCATCATTAATTGGGTCATCTACTTCATTTGTTGTCTACAGTCTACAGATGTCTATTTCCACCTTTGTTTGTGTCAGTTAGGGCTCCAACACCAAGAGCATCTAACACATTCTTGGAATACTTTCCAAGTGCACGTTTTACCAAGATCACAGTGTCACATCCTATTACTGCGTCATAAGCTGGCAGGTTTTTTTGTGGATTGCGTCATTAAGCTTCACTTCATGTACCGGAATCTATCATTGATTATTTGCTGTTCCTGAATGGAACAAAACACACTAGCAACACCAGTACATTATTATATATGCATGTGATTATGGTCTATACATAACCTGCCCATGCTACTGCTATAACATGTACAATAATTTGTGTATCTGCTTCATCGTGATTTGACATGAACAGACTGACATCAGTACTGTGGGATGACTAAGAAGCTGTCTTCTTCAAAATCCACCATAACTACCATCTTCTAGATTTGTTCTTGTACTAGTAATCAGTTGCTAGCCCAAGTTTGATTTTCAAACGGATCAATCAACTTCTTTCAATTTATTGGTGAGGGAAATATTCTGGCGTTGAATTGGCCTGCTACCACTAGCTCTTCAAAATTATCTAGTATATTTTGGATATGTAGATCATATTGATCAAATGCAACATCTGCTCTAGGACATGTACTAGTAAAATGATTGAACAAAGCTGATGTAAATGTAAATATGTCTGCAATACCTCCAATTGATCTTACTGCCAATTGTTTTCAAATTGCTTGACCATCTATCATGGTAAAAGGATTCC